AAAAACCTGATCCTTAAAAGCACGTGTGGTCAAAGTAGTATTAAAATAAATAAATACACTTAATATCATAAATTTTAAATAAATAAAAAATTTAATTATTTAAATAATATATAAAATTCTGTCAAAAATTAATATAAAAAAATATCCTTTGATCATATTCTATAATTTATGACAAAAATGTGAAAAACCTGATCCTTAAAAGCACGTGTGGTCAAAGTGGCAATAATGCAATTTTGGTGCAAAAATGTGGTTGTTTAGATGGAGCTCTCACTTTATATACCATCGTCCATCGCATTGCAAGTACTTACATCAAAGATCAGAACCTGACAACTGAAATTTTTTGTATTTTTTAAGGTGAGAAGATGGGGTCTTTCAGTGACGAATACGACGTCATAATCGTCGGCGGTGGCGTAATGGGTAGCTCCGCTGCACACCAGCTAGCCAAAAGAGGCCAGAAAACGCTCCTTCTGGAGCAATTCGATTTCCTCCACCACCGCGGCTCCTCCCACGGCGAGTCACGCACCATATGCCCGACTTACCCGGCGGACTACTACTATCCCATGGTAATGGAGTCCTATCAACTCTGGGGCCAGGCCCAGGCCGAAATCGGTTATAAGGTCCTCTTCAATGCCCCGCACCTCGATATCTACCGAGATTATGACAAGCGCCTCCGTGAAACTATCTCCACGTGGAAAAAAAACGGCGCTACGTACGAGATCCTCCACGACGAGCTAGTCAAGGATAAGTTCTCCGGCAGGATTGACATACCTGAGGACTGGATTGGACTCTTCACCGAGGACGGCGGCGTGATTAAGCCCACAAAGGCGGTGTCGATGTTCCAAACGCTGGCGTACAAATACGGCGCCGTTCTTAGAGACAACACCGAGGTGCTAAACATAGAGAAAGATGAGGTGAAAGGGGTGGTAGTTACCACAACTAAAGGTGAAAAGTTTTGTGGTAAAAGGTGTGTGGTGACGGCCGGGGCGTGGACGAGCAAGTTAGTTAAAACGGTTAGTGGGATTGAACTACCCATTCAACCCTTGGAAACCTGTGCCCTGTATTGGAGGATTAAGGAGGGGCATGAGGCTAAGTTTTCCATTGAAGGGGATTTTCCCACATTTGCTAGCTATGGAGTGCCGTATGTATATGGCACACCATGTCTGGAGTACCCGGGTTTGATTAAAGTAGCAGTCCATGGCGGGGACCCGTGTGACCCTGACAAAAGGCCGTGGAAACCTGGGCATATGATGGATTCATTGAAGCAATGGATTGAAAGGACATTCAAGGGAATGGTTGATTCGAGTGGACCTGTTGCCACCCAACTGTGTATGTACTCATGGACCCCGGATGAAGATTTCATTATTGATTTTCTCGGTGGGGGGTTTGGGAAGGATGTGGTGGTTGCAGGTGGGTTTTCTGGTCATGGGTTCAAGATGTCACCGATTATTGGGAGGATTTTGGCTGATCTTGTGCTTACTGGGGAGGCAGAGGGAGTAGAGATGAAGTACTTCAGGATTGCTAGGTTTGAGGAAAACCCCAAGGGGAACTTCAAAGATTTTATGCATTAAAGTGGCCTTTGGGCAAATCTCGTGGGTCGGTTACTGGCGAGGCCAACACCAATAAAGTTTATTAATGTCTGTTTATTTAGGATGCATTTGAAATTATTGTGAAGTGTTGTGTCTGTGTTAAATTATATTGTATTTATAATTACAGTTAAAAATTATTTTGATGTTTAGTTATTTAGTTATTGGAGTTCGCCCTAATTTTAGTTTAATTTATTTCTGTTTTAATCAAATTAAATCACAAATTACTTGTATTTTTAACCCCAAATTTATAATTTAATTCTTAATCTTTACTTAAAAAATCAAATTCAAAATGGCTTTATTTATTTTTTAAATCTATTGACTGTTAGTTGATTAAGTAGAAAACTCCTAATCAAATAAAGTGTCTGTCTTTGATCGAATTTTGATACACTTCACTATTGATTTTAAGTTTCATCTATCATATTATATGGTATTGTGTTGTGCTATAATTATAATTATAATTATTTATTATTTT